CCACCAGTTTACTCGAATCGCATTTCTAACTGGAGTCAACTCAGATGTATTTGCATGATCCTGCACACAAACAATACTACTGATAAACAAAAAACGTAGATAACTCAAGGAACAAGGCAGTTGCTAGTCAAATACGTAAGATATGTAAGCAAATCCCCTCATTTCCTGCATTTTTAACAGCTGTAAACAAATAGCAGAAGGCTGTTGTAGTACTTGGAACTGCTTCAGAGTATGACCAAACATAAGTAACGAGGTTGGCTCTCCATTACCAACCCAATTCCAGTCACTAAGTCAGTTTAAGAACTGTCATGACATCCCCAGATAAAAACAAACATACTCCTTAGGATCTGAGAAGATTTCTCCCTTCCTGAAGTCAATCTGTCACTGGAAGTAGAGACTGAAAAGACTATTGTCATATTAACAAAGTTTTCTTTCAGAAGTAGATATATAGTCAGTACTGGGGCAAGTCCTATTTAACATCTTTACTGATGATCTGGACATGAGGAGAGAGTGTACCCTCAGTAAGTCTGCAGATGACACTAAGCTGGATGGGAATGTTGACCTGCCCGAGGGTAGGAAAGCTCTAAAGAGAGACCTGGACTGACTTGGTCAATGGCTGAGGACAACTGCATAAGGTTCTATAAGGCAAAGTGCTGATTCTGCACTTGGGACACAACCCCATGCAGTGCTACAGGCTGGGGGAGGAGAGGCTGGAGAGTTTTCATCAGAAAAGGACTAGGCAGTGCTGGTGACAGCAGCTCAATATGAGACAGTGTGCACAGGTGACCAAGAAAGCCATAGGCATCTTGGTCTGTATCAAGAATCGTGTGGCAGCAGGACTAGGGTAGTGATCATCCCCCTGGACTCTGCCCTGGGGAGCTCACACCTCAGTGTTGTGTTCAGTTCTGGGCCCCTCAATTAAAAAAGGACATCGAGGCACTGGAGTGAGTCCAGCCAAAGGCAACAAGGTCCGAAAAGGTCTGGAAAACATGTTGTATGAGGAAGGACTGAGGGAATTGGGTTTGTTTAGCCTTGAGAAGAGGCTCAGGGGTGACCTCATGGCTCTCTACAACTACCTGAAAGGGGGTTGGAGGGAGGATGGGGGATGGTCTCTTCTGCCATGCCTGCAGGGACAGGACTAGAGGGAACAGTCGTAAGCTGAGACAGGGGAGATTCAGAGTAGAAACTAGGAAATATTTTCCCCTGTTAGGGTGTTCAGGCACTGCAATAGGTTGTCCCGGGAAGGTGGTGGAGTCACCACCCCTGAAGTGTTTAAGAATTGTCTAGATCTGGTGCTGGAAGATACCGTTTAGGGATTACAGCAGAGTGGCAGGTTATGGTTGGACTCTATGATTTTAGAGATCTCCTCCAAACTCAATAATTCTATGATTCTATGACTAATTGAACACAGTTAAGGTTGGGGTGGGGAGATGATTGTTGAACACTGCAACTCGAACAGTATGTCTCTTTCCTGGCTACATGCTTGATTGTGTAACACATTATCCTGACTTTAGCAGTCATATGGAACAAGGACTTGGGCATGGGGAAGGCTGTAATGGTAGATGCCACGTATTTTCACAAGGAATCTCCCTCTTTCTTCAATCCATCACAAGTTATCCCGTGTACCTGAACACCCTGAACTACTATCACAGCTACATAAGCAAATAGGCTCAGTTAAACAGGCACAAGTGAGACACAGCAGGTCTGGTTTTAAAGCCAGAAGTTACGAAGGAAGACTAAGATGTGTGCAACACTTCTTTACCCATTGAGAGAACAATGGAAGTCTCCTACAGAAAGCTCAGTGTTCACTGAAAAATGCTGGGTGCCTTTTTAGGCTTGTAACCTACCATCTGTCTCCTGGCCATTAAAACTGCACTGTAAATCACAGAATCATAGAATATCCTGAATTGGAAGGGACCCACATGGACCATCAAGTCCAACTCCTGGCCCTGCACAGGACATCCCTGAGAATCACACCATGTGCCTGACAGCATTGTCCAAACGTTTCTCAAACTCTGTCAGCCTTAGTGCTGTGCCCACTACCCTGGGGAGCTGTTCCAGTGCCCAAACACCCTCTGGGGGAAGAACCTTTTCCTAATATCCAACCTAAACCTCCCGCTCTCATTACCTTGGGTCCTATCACTGGTCTCTACAGAGAAGAAATCAGTGCCAGTCCTTCCATTTCCCCTCATGAAGAAGCTGTAGACTGCTATGAGGTCTTCTCTCAGTCTCCTCTTCTCCAGGCTGAACAAACCAAGTGACCTCTTATGGCTTCCTCTCTAGATCCTTGACCATCTTCATAGCCCTCCTTTGGACACTAGGAGCTTTAGATCCTTCTTACATTGTGGCACCCAAAACTGCACACAGGACTCAAGGTGAGACTGCACCAGAGTAGACAGGGAGAATTCCCCTCCCTTGACCAGGTAGCAGTGCTGTGCCTGCTGCAGCGCAGGACACAGTAAGGCGCTGCAATTCATTCTGAATTGTGTTTGCTTCTGGCATTTCCTTAGTTTTCAACAGACTACATGCAGGATCAATAGATATTGAAAACAAAGTAATTACATTAAGAGTCGCCATACAAGAAATTCCCGACTTTCTCAATAATATGAGCACTGTTTCAAGTTTCAGAGAAATGAACTTCAGCTCCAAGGCCAATAACCCCAATACTCAAGAGTTTCTATAAGCACCATTTCTCAGCTCTAAACCACAGATAATTTACTAGTCTATTAAAAAAAAAGTTCAACTTAGTAACACAACTAGATCCAAGCAGTGTGTACAACTGACGTAAGAAGAACTCAGCTCTCTACCAGAGCCAAAGCTGAACCATTAATTTGCAGTATCTGCTGACCAGATCTGCTTATTCAGAGCAACAATTTCTACCAAGACCAGGTCTCTCCCAGCAGAACTGGAGTTGACCTCTCCCCTCCTATACAGCATGTGAAGCTGAATCCTGTCAACTTCAGCTTCCAGCCAGTGATCCCATATGTGTAGCTCATATCCCTCTGCCCCTGCAGGCATTTGTCTGTTCCTTTATGCATCTACAGACATACCACATTTGAGACTAAAGGGATCTTTACTCCACCACTAGCTTGTCTCCTCCTATGTTGGTACCACTGTTTTTACAACCACAGCACAAGGCCACAGATGTTCCTGAAGCTGTACTCCTAGTGCTCTACATTTAGCAAGCTGGAAACAAGCTGCAGGGCTAGACTTGTACAGCAAATAGAGTTCAGCCTCCAGTAGAAAGCTGGGGACAGGAGCAAAAGCCTCTCCCTGACTACACCCATGTTAAACCATATTTGCTTTCTATAGCCAGGAAAGCATCTAGATCCACTGCTGGAGAAAAACAGGACTGAAGAGAAGGTAAAAACAGAGGAGAAACAATGAAGCACAACAAGAGAATTGCAGATGAGGAGAAGAGAGTAAGAGCAGAATTACAGTTTAGAGAAGAGGACAAGAGAACACACAGGAGAGACAGAAAAGGCAGTGCACAGAACAAAGCAGGAAGTGAGATGCTGTGACCCACTGTAGGAACAAAACCAAACCAAGGTGTGAGCCCCATCACAGCAACTGCAGCTACAACAGTCAGACAGGGTGGTACAGAGCACGTGAAGAAACCAGAGTCTCTCCAAAATCCAGTATCTTCTCTCCAGATTATGTGGGTAGTACTGTGTGCCTAAACACACCTCAACAGGCAGACAACAGAATCACCTGGCTTAACACTGTACATCTGCATAGAGGTCACAGTTTACATTCAACTCCCATTCTCTAGATCAAAAACCAAACACTACTTTCAATCTTAAGCAATATCTTTAACAAATAAGCAATATAAAAAAATCAGGTGAAAACAACTACCCTTTAATCCCTTGCTCCCACTGTAAGTCTCTTTGTTCAGTGGGGCAAGGGAAGGATGGAATGAAAGCAGCAGGGAAAGGGAGAGGTCATGTTCCAATGCCCAGCACTACTCAGTTTATGTTTTCTTCTCTTTGCCAGGAACTCAATTTCAACAGGCAGTCACAGTCCAGAGACAGCTGATACCTGACTGACAGCTGCAGAAAGCACTGGTTTGACACAGACACTGCCTGTCCATTTCCCACTTTCTCTGGAAACACAGCTCCCCTGCTAAGCTTGAAGTATGTGCCGCCTTGCAAAACAGAGCCTAGACCATAGCTTGTCAGTGATTTCATGTATCACAGTTTGCAGTATATTATTCTAAAGCACATACCAAGACTCTTCAGTTGGCAGCTCTTAACTGATAAAAAAATCCTTCCTATAACAGATAATTAGATAGCCAGCAAAAAGTCAACTACTCTTCCATGACTCCAGGAATCACTGTAACATCGTCAACACTGATAAACACCAGGTTTGGAGCAGTTTGCAGGCAACACTTGACCCTCCTAATAGCAACTATGTCCCTCCCCTGGCCAGTTCTCTACACAGGCCTGATAACATCAGGGTCCCAACACAAACACTCACCACAGTGAGCGGGGAGGAAACGAAAAGAAAAAAAAACCCCAAGCAATTCCACACAGGGTCCTTAGCTGCAGGAGGTTCTTGCTCCAATACATTCAATGTTTCTAGTGACTTTTATAACATAAACCCCACTTATTTTCCCCAATCTTAGCCTGTTAAACTAATCAATAATTTTGTATAATACAAGAAATAGAGCTTACTGCCCCTTCCTAACCATTGTAAAATGGTAGATTACTATTTATCCAAGGAAGCTGATTTGAGAACAATTCTTCTTGAAGTATCTTCATTGTTATAAAACTCCTGAAAGTTTTATATTCTGTATTATTGTTATGATTGACTTTTTTTGCATTAATCCTGTAGAAAACATTCAACAGGTCAACTGAGTGTGGCAGAGCACAGTGATTGTGACACCTCTCTTTGACCTCCACACAGGTATTTTTTCAGCTCTTAAATGAAGTTTTGCATATAGAGGGAGAGAGATACAGGAAATATTGAGGTTAGGAGTATGTGAATAGAAACTGACTCACCACAGTCCTTTGCTTGTTGGGCAGGAAGACTCTAACAATAGGCTTCTGTGGAGACTTGGGGTTATTCCGTGACATATCAGCAGGGTTTTGATAAACTGAAAGGGATGAAGGTGCTACAGAGAGGCTAGAGGAGGAAGATGATGCAACTGTGTCTGTTGAAGCTGAACTGGAGACAGAGAAATCAGTTCCATTCCCCATGGATTCCAGTAACTGCTGTTCTCTCTGCTGTAGAGCATCTAGCTTGCTGGTGTACTCTTCATAGGCCTGTGAAGGGAGAGCAGCTGCTGTAACCATGTAGTAGCCTCAGACAAAACCACAAACCTAAATTTGGAACGAACAAAACTTTCTAAACTAACTCAAATTTTCCAGGAATATGAACAAAATAGTTTGGTCAAATTTTTCACTAGGACACAACGAGGAAATGGCTTTCAATATTAATGTTACACCTCCTGAACCAACAACTAATGTTTTAATGAATTAAATGGAGAACTGAATAAAAGAAATTTTCAAGGCACGTGCACTGAAGAGTCTAATTCACCATCACTTTAAAAAAGACAGAAATCTTTCACAAATGTTGTCAGCTGCATTGTTGAATTAGTGTGCTCCAGAACATTTTATCATTCTGTTGGAATGACAGCTAAACACATCCAGAGAAAGCTCAAATCTGCCTTGAACTGTCTGTATCTGACTACTCACCCAGGTCACTGTTCACCATCCTTCACCTCTGGCACTGTCCTTTCATACCAAACAGTACAAACCCACTTGATTTCACTTAGAACACACAGTTCGCCCTGTTTAAAAGTCATCCATGAAACTGCAGAAATGATCCTTTGAAAGAATTTAACATCTGGAAAAGATCAATTTGATTTTCCACCAGGTTTATGTAAAACCTGATTACACACTGACCAAGTTTCTTAAACAAAAAAAAAAGAAAGCCCATAAAAAAATCAGTACTACTAAATTTGCCCATGAAGTTTCTATTGAATGTAGTCAAGGTAAACATTATTGCCAAGATCAATAGTACAAATACATAATTGGTATATATTGCTCTTTGAAGTTTGTTTCCCACAACTTTGTAACAAGAAAATTTTGATCTGTATCCAAGTATCAGAATAATTTCTTCAGTATATAAATCAGCACAGAGTATCTTCAAAATCTGAACTGGCTGAGCTACATGTGTTTCATGCTACAGCAGCATCTCAGTGTTAACCAAGTACACGCTTAGACCTTTACAGAAAAAAGAAACAGGAAATAGAATTGTCTACTTTTCTCTCTAGCAAGACCAAGATCTATACCAAGTTGCACAAATTTTTTACTGATATTTTCAAGGACACTTATGTCAAGCAAAGATACCTTTTGGTTCTGTTTTCTAAAAACTATTTTTAAATTTTGTTTGCTCTCCTAAAATTTTCTGTCCACACCATGTTGCTCATTAAAGTTACAGGAGAACTGAAATGACCAAAAAGTCTGCAGGGTCTACATGTGGGAACAAAGAAATCAACATTAAGAGAAAATAACCAGCATACAGTAGTGCACAAGCACACAAGGACATTTTACCAGGAATTTGTCTCTCCAGGTTGTCTGTGCAGGCTCACCTGATCCAAACTGCTTTTGCTGAGCAAACAGTGTTGGTCCCTCCCTTTTTATGCTAGTCTAGCATCCTCCCAGGATAGACCTGTGTTCGAAATGTGTCATCATCCCCACACAGCTAACAAAGTGGTAATTTGACAGTGAGGACTAAAAGAAAAGGCATCTTAAAGAATGGTGGTGAACATCACAGTCTCAATTCAAATTTAATGGGTTCCATTTTTAATAAATGGATGTAAGCTGCAAGAAACTGAAAATTACTTACTATTTCTTTTAAAACCTGAAGATGCCTAGCATTTCAGAAACAGAGCCCAAACTCTGAGACTTGAATCCCAAACAACTTCACTCTAGCCCAGTTCTACTGTGAAAAGTAAATTGAAAGGTTACCCAGCTATAAGTAATGGCATTTTTTGGCTGTACAGTAACACGAGTGTCTCTCTCCTACTTCCAGGATCAACTTTTCATGGAAATTCGAGTAAAAGCTCCATGGATCTAGAATTATTTTCAGTAAACAAAAATTAAGAAACATAAACTGTTACCATTTCACCAATACTTTTCTAAATACTTACTTCCTCTTCTCATGAGCATTGCAAAATATTATTTGAGCACACGCAACGTTCCATTGCTTCCGGATTCTTGTGGGTTCGGTTCCTCCACAAGATTACACACATCTTTCAAAATACTCAATCCTACAATGTTTACACTGGCAGCTTCAGCTGTCACTAATGCAAATGATTTATCTCAAGAGAATAAACAGTGAGTATGGAAAGCTGGGAACTGCTGCTGGCTTTGGGTTCTATACCATCAGTTTCTGTGAAAAGCTCTGGTTTTTATGAGTATCATACTGTTATTTGGTGTCATAGCAAAAGATTCCATAGCAAAACATAATGGAACTAGAAATGCATAGGTAGACTTTAAATACATTTTTCTCTTTAAAAAAAAAAAATTGTTTTCATACAGAAGGAGCAGAAACAGAACATCTCCCATTAAAATTTCATTTCACAAAGATTAAGTACTTTGGATAAACATTGGTTTCATCTGACAACTATCACCAACATACCTTATACAGTCAACAGCATCAAGTTAAGACAGAATTATCCCATGGAGTTACATTCAAAGAGTATTACAACAGCAAAGCTGACCCATGGCAAGTATTTCTAGCTAAAAAAAAGATTATGTTGCAGAGTTTGCCTGTCTACAAAACATAACTGCAGCAGCACAGCCACATTTGCAGACAGGCATCAACACCTACACAAACCTTCAAGTCAGTCAAGGCCCTCTGGGTCAACCATGAGGTTGATTTCTGACATGGTTTCTCAAACATACACTAAAGAAAATTAAAATTAAGCTTGTACAGCATCTACAGCATGAAAAAGATGAAGATTCAAACAAATCATTAGATCAAGGATTTTAAAGGCCTTTCAGAAGGAAGTTATGAAATCTAGACCCCAATCCAATCAGTTCATGTATTCCCATTAAGAAGTGGGTACTATTCTACATAAAACTTAAATCTTGCTTTCAGCTTGATACAGGAGGGGGGAAAAAAAGGAAAAAAAAGGAAAAAAAAAGGTTGGAAGGTATCCTTGGAAGTCATCTAGTCCAAACACTTGTTTAGCACAGAAGTAATTTTTAAGTTCAATCAGGTTGCTCAGGGCCTTGCCAAAGGATGAAGGATGGAGAGCCCAACCTCTAGCCAACCAGTTCCAGAGCTCACAGCCCACTCTCAAGATGTAGAATTTTCTCTTATGAAATTCACTTGATGCTATCTATGACGCTGCCTCTTCCTGTTTTGCCATGCATGTCTGGAAAGAGTCTGGCCCTCTCTTTAAGAGCCTGCAGATTCCTCCTTAACCTTCTCTCCCCTGTGCTGACACAGCCCAGAGCGCAGCTTGCTGCTGGTACCATGAGGGTGGGTCACTGACAGCTCAGCTTACTCCCAGTTTACAGTGAACTTACAAGACTTCACCAAGTTAAATATATACTTGAAAAGCCAAATATTCGATTCAAATTGGCACAACTTGTCAATCGACACCTAATTTTAGGGCTGTCTGAGATAGAACAACAAGTTAATTTTAATGACACTGCATATCAGTGTATATGCATGTCATGTAACAGTCTCACACATGTGAGAATACTCCTGAGACTCCAACCAAGTAAAATGCACAAAGGCCTGCTAAGCTGCCAAGTCCACCTAAAGCATTACAAGATGACATGTTTATATACAATGCATACACATGCCAAAATACAACTGCTGCTCACTCAGGAGTCAACAGAGTTTGAAAGATGTTCTACAGATGTGCCAGCAGAGTTCTGCTGACAAAATGAGGACAAGGGATTTTCTCAAAAATATGCATATCTCTTTCTTATATGTTGTTTATATTATGTTGAAATTTGCCTTCTTGGGCCATGACCAGGCTATAAATTCTAGTAATATCAACTAACCAAATGAAAAGCAACCAGTTAATTTTGATGACTTTTTTTTTAATTAATCTGAGAGAAATCCAAGTAGCCAAATATGATTTCTCCCTCTCCCTGTCCCTACCACATCTGGTTAGAAAACCAGTCTTAAGCAGACCAACTGGCTTTACCATGCTCTCTCATCCTCCATCAATTTTAGACACTATAAACACATTGCAAGACTCTTAAAAGCCTCAACTACAGGTTCCTGGTCTTTGAAATTGAGATTGTGTTTCTATTTAAAAGATGTCTGACCTTTTAGGCTGTTGATCAAATGCAAATCCCACTAAGTTAAATGGGAGCTGAAGATAGACAGTAACGTACGTCACGATTTCTTCATTTAGTAAGACTCCTAAATCTGTACTTAGTCTAACTTTAGACACTCCAGTTTTGGTCCAACATATTTGAACAGCATCTGTTAGGAGCCTGGTAAAAATCAATCTGAATTTCCCCAGAGGGCCACCAGGTTTCCCAGTGCCTGTACGAGCGTTAGCATTTTCCTGGAATCCCAGTCTGAAACAACCTGAGATTCATCATCACCAAGATCTATTTCAGGCTGTGTCTGCCTGCTGTTGCAATAAGCATACTTCAGATCAGCAAAGAGGTAATCTTCTTTAATTAATTAATTTGACCTCCTGCGTGGATTCTTCAGATATACAGGAATAAGGAATTAAATACTCTCCTGATATTCAAACATCCAAACTCTTGAAAGCAGCAACTGAATAAAATACCTACAGGAAAAGAAAAAGCTAGGGGAAAAAAACCAAAGTATTTGGGGACAAACATACCTCTACCCCTAAGATTCTCATTTTAAACTGCTTCCAAGAGTAGGAGTAGGAAAGAGGATGATTCCTTCCAGACAGTACTAGAAAGCCGACCGAGTTTTAAAACTTATTTTGATACTACTATAATTCTATCTATGCATTTGTAAACTGTTCTGTTTGGTGTGGAGTTCAAACTTAAAAAAACCCAAAACACTCCAGAACCCATAAAGCCCCAGAAGACCTAGCAGCTCACCCTTAACTGAAATAACCCACAGGTCCAGGATGCAACCTCACACCACACAAAGAACTATTGACATGTGCATGGGTTAATACTGTTCGATTAAGTTCTCACAGATAAGTGTTCGCAGGTAATACTGGACACATGACTATGAGGCAAAAAGGACACACAATGCAATTTGGAAGTTTAAATAGGTACAGCCTCCCTGAACAGTCATT